TAGTGAATCTTTTCTCCTAAGATGGTACTTACACCAACTGTAGATATTGGGGCCCTAATTTGGTGTGTTGAAGAGGATTCCTCTAGGATCTGGAATAACTTGAGCATCAGAACACATAATTTCAGACTATAATACCTTTAACAAGATAAGAATCTATGAACTCATAATGATATAAAACATAATGACACACTAACTAGCACAGAAGAGTGAGCCCTTAGCTTTGATGCTAGATCAAAATATAAATGAGAAACAATATTGGGAATTAAAACACCAGCATTTCATATAGCATTGATGATTAAAAATACTATTAAAGGTAGTGGATGAAAATTTGATAGGAAGTAGGATACTGGCATAATATTGGAATAATTTTTAATAAAAGTCCACACATTCCAAAAAGGAATAAAAATGTGTATATAGCACAGCATATATGAATGCTGTGGTGCAGCAAGTTTTGCCACTGCCTGCCACACCAGCATTCCACATCAGAGTGCTGTGGTGCTGCCTCAAGCACCAGCTTCCCTGCTTTTGATCAAGCACAATGTGAATGCACCTGGGAAGGTTTCAGAACATGGCCCAAGTGCTTGGGCCCTGCCACCCATGTGGAAGACCGGGAAATAGTCATTCATCCTAGCTTCAGCTTGACAAAGAACTTAACATTGCAACTCTTTGGAAATGAACCAGCAGAGAGAGAGAGAGAGAGAGAGAGAGAGAGAGAGATCCAGCTCTCTGCTATGGCCTGGGAAAGCAGTAGAAGATGGCCCAAGTGCTTGGACCTCTGCACCTGCATGGGAGACCCAGAAGAATCTCTTGGCTCCTGGCTGTGGATTGATGCAGCTCTGGCTGTTGCAGCCAATTGGGGAGTTAACCAGTAGACGGGAGACCTGTCTCTCTCTCTCACTGCCTCTCTTTCTCTCAAATAAATAAATAAATCCTTTTAAAAGATATAGATGTAGACATAGATATAGGTACTGATCACTCATTGTAATTCTGCATTCAAAATGGATAAATAAATACTTAAAAGGTTGCATGTGAATCAATCTGGCAGAAATTCACTAAGTACCAAGTTGATAGCATCCATCATAGCACAGATGGGAGACTTAGCAGAGCCCAGCATCGACCCATGGTGCTTCTGATGAGAATACAGGGCCCACATTTTCTCAGAAAGGAACACTGGAGCGACCCAGCTTGAGTCATCTCTGCTCTTGATATCTATTAAGAGTTTTCATATTAGAATTTCATATTAGAATTCCAGAAAAATAACATGGAATCACAGTGGGAGAAACGATATTTTAACATGGTTGGAAAAAGATGTGATAGTTCTGTGGATTGGGTTGTGTTGGATTAATGTTGGTTTCTTAAATTGGGGTTCATATGCTATTTATCAGGGGACCACCCTATAGTTAGCAGAAACATCTTGGGTCAGGGGCAAAAGTGCTAAAAGGATACTAACTGGGCATTCTCAATGAATGGGACTCACTCATGGTATTTCTGTAAGTTTGAAATAATTTCAAAATTAACTACTCTTAAAATGACCAAATTGTAAGATGACAATATCCACATCCTGTTAGTAAAACAGGGACAGCATCAAATACTATAAAGGCTAAACCTTACCCAATTCCCATTAGGCCAACGTTATAAAACTGGACCCCCTCTAAGCATCTACATGCCTGTATGGAGACTGCAGAAATAATACAATAATATTCACAATGCGTTTCCTGTTCTGAACACATTTGTGATAGTTTTGAAACACCTTGATCTTTTTATTTTAAAGATTTTGAGAACTCTCTTGATCTTTAAAAATAATTATTTTATTTTTGTACTGAAAAGAAAATATGTGGATATGTCTCAAATCTGTTGGTTCACTCCCCAACATTATGCCACAGCTGGGGCAGGACCAAGCCCAAACCAGCAACCTGAAACACAATCTGGGTCTCTACAAGGGTGGCACGGACTCAACTCCTTTAACCCTCATCACTGTCTCAGAATGCACACCAACATGAAGCTGGAATCAGAAGCAGAGCTGGGACTTTACCCAGGCTCTCTGACATGGGATGCAGGCATCCCAAACAGTGGTCACACCACTATGTCAAATGGCCACTCCTTCATTTTTAATTTAGTTTTTATTTGGGAATCAGAGAGACTGAGAAAGACAAGCAGCAGAAATCACTTATCTGTTGGCTTACTGCACAATGCCCACCACATCAGGACTGAATTAGATGAAAGACAGGAGCCAGGAGCTTCATCCAGGTCTTCCACATGGTTGACAGAAATGGTTGGGCCATTATTCACTGCCTTCTCCACAGACTAGCAAAAATCTAGAATGGAAGAGGAGTTGCCAGGACTCAAAGCTGCACTCCAGTATGAGATGCCAATGTCAGAAGAGCAGCTTGACCTATTGAATCACATGCTAGTCCCTGCATCAATTCAAACCAGTGCACTCACCCTACCCTGTATATATTCAAAGAATGCAAAGCTGGACATCCTCTCCCTTTCCTTATTATTATATTAGCTCCTCAGCAGACCAATTGTTCAGTTTAAACTGAGAGAACAGAGCAGCTCTGATTAGTACAGTGATATGCTTTTTGGGTTTTGGACACTTTTTTTAAGATTTATTTATTTATTTGAAAGTCAGAGTTACACAGAGAGAGGAGAGATGAGAGAGAAAGAGTTCTTCCATCCACTGGTTGACTCCTCAAATGGCTGCAATGGCCAGCGCTGTACCAATCTGAAGCCAGGATCCAGGAGCTTCTTCTGGGTCTCCCACACAGGTGCAGGGGCCCAAGGACTTGGGCCATCTTCTTACTGCCATAGCAGGCCATAGCAGAGAGCTGATTTCTATGCCACTGGTCCAGACCCTGGGCACTTTTTTGAAGGTTGAGTAACTGATTTTGGCAATGACAGAAAGTTTCTTTTACAATGACTTTGATGGGGCTGGTGCTGTAGCATAACAGTTAAAGCTGCTGCCTGGAGTGCCAGCATCCCATAAGGGTGCTGGTTTAAGTGTCAGCTGCCCCACTTCCAATCCAGCTCTCTGCTATGGCCTGGGAAAGCAGTAGAGGATGGCCCAAGTCCTTGGGCCCCTGCACCCACTTGGGAGACTCACAAGAAGCTCCTGGCTCCTGGATTTGGATCAGCACAGTTGCAGCCATTGCAGCCATCTAGGGAGTGAACCAACCAATGGAAGCCGTCTCCCCCTCTCTCTCTGCTGCTGCCTCTCTAACTCTGCCTTTCAAGTAAATAACTAAATCTTTTTAAAAAAGTGAAAGAAAAAGAAATAATAAAATGACCTTGCTTCCCACAGCTAAAGTATTTTACGTTATCAGGATGTTTAAGGGCAGCAGCCGTATATTAGTTTTGTAAGTCTCAGTCTGTACTGTTTGAAGAAATTTATTCATTTCTGCCATCGTAGTTTCAGGTTTTGGAGACAACAGCTTTTAAAACATTTTTTAATCCTGATTTGCATTTTCATAAGCCATTTGTTTTAGTAATATTTTGCCACTTCCTGATTATCTACCTGATGTCCAATAGCTTTTTCTAGCCTATGCACAAAGGACATATTGCCCTCAGTCAGCCCCTGATGGACTGTAGAAAATGAAGTGGACAGGTCTTTAACATCAAGAATCTTTTTCCATACTTTTAATGAATGTTAGAAATTTTTGCATAAGCCTTCGTCCAAGGATAAGCAACTTGTTGACCAAGATCTGAATACACTCCCTCTCTCAGCAACTGCTCAAAAGTGGTAGGGACATTGTTATTTAGTTAATCTATGGCTTGTACAGAAGCCCAGTCTCTATTCCTGAGCCCAAACAGTGTACTGGGCTGGAGTAACCAAGATTTTAATTAAAGTTTTCCAGTTCCATGGCACCATCTCACACCCTTCTCCAATTCCCTCCAGTATGCCCACTGTACCAGAACTCTGTATCTTGTACTCCGTTAAGCCCTTTTTTAGCCCTCTGTAAACATTATAAGGAAGATGTTCATGCCAGGGAGCTGCATTTTCGGGTCAAGCTACAGGACAAACAGTTAACACTGGTGATTCCCCTTGCTCCTTGGCTTGCAGAAGCATGCCTAGTACCGCTGACACACCTGAAGGGGACTCAGATATCACCACCACAACAGCAGGTGCTGAGAGTGCAGAGGTCTCTGTGAGGCAGTGGGGACAAGCCCATTGACTGACCTTCCTGGCCGGGGACAGAGGCCAAGGGAATTGTAACCTTACTAATGGCATCCCAGCAGAGATATCACATGTGCAAAAACAGAATAGGAGCTCAAGGCTCCTGATGTTATTTTTGACCAACTTTCTCTCAATCAGTTACTGTTTTTTTAGATTTATTTATTTATTTCAAAGTTAGAGTAACACAGAGAGAGGAGAGGTGAGAAAGAGAAAAAGGTCTTCCATCCACTGGTTGACTCCTCAAATGGCTGCAATGGCCAGTGCTGTACCAATCTGAAGCCAGGAGCTAGGAACTTCTTCCTTGTCTCCCACATGGGTGCAGGGGCCCAAGGACTTGGGCCATCTTCTTACTGCCATAGCAGGCCATAGCAGAGAGCTGGATCAGAAGTGGAGCAACCAGGACTTCAACCAGTGCCCACCACTGTAGGTGGTGGATTTTACCCATTAGACCACAGTGCTGACCCAACAATCAGTTATTTTTAAAGTGCCTTCATCAGGGTTCCAAGGATAGCAACTACTAATTTTTTACAGCAAGCATCCAATTACTTTTTGGTAAAGAGTGTCCCTCTTCGGGCCAGCACCGTGGCTCACTTGGCTCATCCTCTGCCTGCAGCAGTGGCATCAAATATGAGCACCAGGAGCTAGTCCCGGTTGCTCCTCTTCCAGTCCAGCTTTCTGCTGTGGCCAGGGAAGGCAGTGGAGGATGGCCCAAGTTCTTGGGCCCCTGCACCCACATGGGAAACCAGGAGGAAGCACCTGGCTCTTGGCTATGGATCGGTGCAGTGCCAGCCGTAGCGGCCATCTGGGGAGTGAGCCAATGGATGGAAGACATTTCTCTCTCTCTCTCACTGTCTATAACTCTACCTGTGAAATAATAAAGAAAAAAAGTGTCCCTCTTTCTAAAGGAGATAAAGCAGCCCAACTTTATGTTTCCATTACACCAGGTATGGAATTCCCCATCTTTATGACTCACCAGGATCTTGAAGAGATGAGTGTGCAAGTGAAAGGAGAGACAGGAGAGACAGGACATGGAAACAGTTCCTCTGCAAAGTGCTGCCAAACTAACCCGGTGTGTTTTCTTTATTGATAATGATTACAACAGCGTATTGTACAGCTCATGCATGTGCTCATCTAACTCCAAGGTTTCTCTGGAACATGTTTAGCAAGACATATTAGATAAACAAGTCTAGGGCAGCTGCTGCATGTCTTTGGGAAGCCAACATTCCCACAAGGCTCAGTGCTCTTCTTCTTAGTGGACCATAAACTATACTTAGTCCCTGCAGCTACATGCTGTGTACTAGGAAGAAAATGTCTTTGCTTTGGCAGAAATCCTATTCTCCACAGTCACATTTGACCATCTTTACAAACCTTCCTATGAGCAACCAGGTTGACCAGATCTGAGTCCACTCTGTGTGTGAATGAACATGACTTTGCTTTATATCTAAATACTGTTCTTCTATTTTGGATTACATATGTGTTTTTTTTTAACTTTTATTTAATGAATATAAATTTCCAAAGTACAGCTTATGGATTACAATGGCTTCCCCCCCATAATGTCCCTCCCACCCGCAACCCTCCCCTTTCCCACTCCCTCTCCCCTTCCATTCACATCAAGATTCATTTTTGATTCTCTTTATATACAGAAGATCAGTTTAGCATACATTAAGTAAAGATTTCAACAGTTTGCTCCCACACAGAAACATAAAGTGAAAAATACTGTTTGAGTACTAGTTATAGCATTAAATCTCAATGTACAGCACACTAAGGACAAAGATCCTACATGAGGAGTAAGTGCACAGTGACTCCTGTTGTTGACTTAACAAATTGACACTCTTGTTTATGGCATCAGTAATCACCCTAGGCTCTTGTCATGAGCTGCCAAGGCTATGGAAGCCCCCTGAGTTCACCGACTCTGATCATATTTAGACAAGGCCATGGTCAAAGTGGAAGTTCTCTTCTCCCTTCAGAGAAAGGTACCTCCTTCTTTGATGACCCATTCTTTCCACTGGGATTTCACTCGTGGAGATCTTTCATTTAGGTTTTTTTTTCCCCCAGAGTGTCTTGGCTTTCCATGCCTGAAATACTCTCATATATATGTGTTTTGTAACTGTGCTTTGATTCATAGTAACTCAACTTTTTATGGAATTGATTATCATTGAATGGAAACTGAAAATATAAATAAAATATTGAAAGAGAAAAATGAATTTATGCAAATATTACAATGTAGCCCAGAAAAATTTTTAAGTATAAAATGGTGACCACAAATGAATAACTCCCTCTTGCTCTTCTATCCAACCCTCTCATTTATCTCTCACTCAATGCTGCTCAACCTCTCCCAGTACCTCTAGTACTGATTGAGCTCACTGCAGGAGTGTCTGTCTCCCCACTGCACTGTGAACTTCTGCCTTCACTCAGCTCTATCTCCTGTGTTCACCACTCACGTAAATTCACTTTGATCACTCCAATGGTTAATGAGGGAATTATTTCCTTAGCAACTCCATGATATAGAAGAGAAAAATCAAGTCTTTCATGTTGCTTCTCTCTAGGAAAATCTTTCATGGAGAAAGAAATGTTAATGTAAATGTTGGAAAGACATTATTTTATTTATTTATTTTTATTTTATTATTTTTTTTTTTGCCAGAGTTAGACAGAGAGAGTTATAGACAGTGAGAGAGAGAGAGAGAGACAGATAGAAAGGTCTTCCTTCCATTGGTTCACCCCCCCAAATGGACGCTACGGCCAGCACACTGCGGCGACCCAAAGCCAGGAGCCAGGTGCTTCCTCCTGGTCTCCCATGCAGGTTCAGAGCCCAAGCACTTGGGCCATCATAAACTGCCTTCCTGGGCCACAACAGAGAGCTGGACTGGAAGAGGAGCAACTGAGACAGAATCCGGTGCCCCATACGGGACTAGAACCCGGAGTACCAGCACCACAGGTGGAGGATTAACCTAGTGAGCCACAGCACCAGCAGGAAAGACATTATTGATTATTCTCTGGCCTGATATACCTGGACAAGGGTCCTACCAAAATAAAACTGGAGGGACCGGCACTGTGGCACAGGGGGTTAATGCCCTGGCCTGAAACACTGGCATTCCATATGGGTGCCAGTTCAAGACCTGGCTGCCGCACTTCTGATTCAACTCTCTGCTATGGCCTGGGAAAGCAGCAGAAGATGGCCCAAGTCCTTGTGCCCCTGTGCCCATGTGGGAGACCCAGAGAAAGCTCCTGGCCCCTGGCTTTGGATCAGCACAATTCTGGCCATTACAGCCAATTGGGTGTGAACCATCAGATGGAAGACCTCTCTCTTTCTTTCTCTCTCTCTCTGTGCCTCTCCTTTCTCTGTGTAACTCTGACTTTCAAATAATTCATTAAATCTTAAAAAAAATAAAATAAATAAAACTGGAAATAATATTGTTGGATGCATTTAGAACTCTCAGACCAAGATGAGAGGCTGCCCATTTTCTTATAAAGGAAGATCCATTCATAGGATTCAATTGCAATTGCATTGTCATAAATTCAGCAGAGACTGGTGTATCTTCCTGCATTGTCACCCAAATACAGTGTGATAACTAAGGAGACCAAGCTGGGGAGAGAAAAGAGATATGGCATTGCAGTCTTTCCCAACATTCCTAGATGACACCAGTCATGACTCTCTACTCACTTGGGAATAGCCTGCCACCAGCCCTACTCACAAACACCTGAAGAGTGACCAAAGACCAACAGAGGGAGCCCTTTTCTTATACAAGGTCAGATAGAAGAGGGCTTGAGTACTGTATCTCACAAGGGCAGTTGTCACTGTAAGGTAAGTGATGTATACATGTGTCTACACACACACACACCAGATTTCTAGGATTGTTCTATTTTTACTGAATAGCATACCTTTTCTACCATCCATAACTACCCTTCTAATTTATGCTTCTCATAGTCTATTTTTTTTTAAAGATTTATTTATTTTATTTGAAAGTCAGAGTTACGCAGAGAAAGGAGAGGAAGAGAGAGGTCTTCCATCTGATGGTTCACCCCCTAGTTGGCTGCAATGGCCAGAACTGCATCGGCCCAAAGCCAAAAGCCAGGAGCTTACTCTGAGTCTCCCACATGGGTACAGGGGCACAAGGGCTTGAGCCATCTTCTACTGCTTTTCCAGGCCATAGCAGAGAGCTGCATCGAAAGGGGAGCAGCCGGGACTAGAACTGATGCCCATATGGGATGCCGACGCTTCAGGCCAGGGCGTTAACCTGCTGAGCCACAGCGCTGGACCCTCATATTCTATTTTTTAAAAAAGATTTATTTAATTGAAAGAGTTACAGAGATAGGTAGAGCCAGAGAAAGATCTTCCATCCACCGGTTCACTCCCCAAATGACCACAACGGCCAGAGCTGAGCCAATCTGAAGCCAGGAGCCACGAGCTTCTTCCAGATCTCCCACAGAGGTGCAGGAGCCTAAAGACTTGGGCCATCTTCTACTGCTTTTCCAGGCCATAACAGAGAGCTGGGTCAGAAGTGGAGTAGCCAGGAATTGAAGAGGCACCCATATGGATTGCCGACACTGCAGGTGGGGCTTTAAACCACTGCACTACAGCGCTGGCCCCTCTGACTACTTTAAATACTTCATATGTTGGAATCTTACAGTATTTGTCTTTGGGGACTGATATTTGTGGTTAATTTCACTTAGGAAAATAACCTTACTGTTCATCCATGGCACAGGATTTTCTTTTCTCTGTGCCTGCATAACTTTGCACTGTGAGTGCAGGCCACACTAAAAGTCTTGGCTACAGTGAATTATGCTGTGGCAAACAGTGCCAATACTTTATTTATATTGACCTTTCAATGCTTTTAGATATTTAATAAGAACTGAGATTATCAGATAATATAAAAATTTTGTTTTCAATGTAATGAAGAACATTCATACTGTTTTCTGTGGTGGTTGCATCATTTTACATTACCACTGACACTGTACATGTAGCTGAAAATATATATCTTCAACAAATTATGCACCTGGGTTTTTTGTTTGTTTTTAAAGAACAGGAGCAGGAGGTCGCATTGGCCATTACTGGCCATGGTTATGAAGATCCCTCTGCACTTGCACTCAAGGTGAATCAGCATTGGGCTTCATTGTCAGTGTGGTGAAATTGCCCATCACCCAGGGAGAAGTGTATGACTGTTAAGTACATTTTCAACTTCCTGCAGTGGTTCTAAAGCCAGGTCTATAGGTATCATAACCCCATCTGGCTTTCAATATTGTTTCTGTTCCAGGTAACTTTCTGTTAGCAAGGTCAAGCACAGATTTCCATCTGAACATTTCTCTAGCTTGGGATTCACATAAAAGATGAGTGCCAGCACAACATTCCTCTACCCATTCTGCCTGCCATGACCTAGAGTGTAGACCTAACAGGCTAACCCAGATTTTAACTCTTCCAATAAATTGTTCCTACATGGGACAGGACAGCCTACATGAAGCTCCCAAAAATACCCACAAAAGGGGAAGTAGTGTTGCAATGCCCAAGTGGGATCAGCATGGTGACCTTGCCTAGAGTTTCCTTCTTTGGGACAACCCATGTCACCATGGAGTCCTTCCTGCCCAAATGCCTGAGGTATCAATAGCAAGAGCTGAGTCAATATCTGCAAAGTTATAAAGTATTCACATCCTAGATTTCTTGAGTCTGGGCCCCTAGAAAGTAAGGACAGACGAGAACAGATGGCTTTCTCCAATGGGGCTTCAGCAAAGAAAGCTTAGACACCCTGAGTTCCAGGTTCTATTGTAGACTTTCATCAAGAAATTGATTTCATTTCTTGGGATTCTCTTTCATGGGATTCCTCAGCAGAAAAGACCTCTCCAAAGACTCATCCTCCATCTGCCTCATGCCATGTCAATAATCACACACATTTATGACACATAGCTCAATCCAAAAACCCCAGGGAGTGCCTGGGTACAATCAGGACCCAGCTTTGCAGACAAACTGAGTTCCAAGAGGGTTCCCTCTACCCTTTCAGTTATGTGACCCTGAAATATCACTGTATCTCCTAAAGACTCCATAGTCTGGGCAATGGCAAGTAGAATGGCAGTTCCTGGGAGTTGGTGGTGGTGGAATTGTAAAAACTTTCTTTCAATGGGTAGAGAGTTTCAGTCTCATAAGGAAAAACAGTTCCTAATATTCATCCCACAACAATGTGCATATCCTCAACACTACTCAACTATACACTTCGAAATGCTTAAGATGATAAAATTCATCAGCTGTATTTTGTTTTGTCAGGACCACAATAATAGTACATTTTAAAAGTGGTCAAATAGGAGCTAGACCTGTGGCACAGTAGGTTAAAACCTTGGCCTGTAATGTCAGCATCCAACAAGGGTGCCGGTTCAAGTCCTAGGTGCTCCACTTCCCATCCAACTTTCTGCAAATGTGCCTGGAAAAGCAGTAGATGATGGCCCAAATACTTGGATCCCTGCACCCACATTGGGGACCTGGAAGAAACTCCTGGCTCCTGAATTCAGATTGGCCCGGCTTGGCCCATTGTGGACATTTGGGGAGTGAACCAACCAATGAAAATTTCTCTCTGTCTCTACCTGTCTTTCTCTAACTCTGCCTTTCAAATAAATAACACAGATCTTTAAAAAAAAAGTTGATATGAAAAAAGTGGCCAAATACACATCTCAAAAAAATTAACATTCTCTCAGAAGTGCAGTTAATACTTACTAATTTTGTACAATCTCTTATATTTGCCCATTTTCATAATAACATTCCTAATTCCATTTTGATGAGTTTTATGTCATCAATTTTTTTTTGAAATAGGAATCCGATGCCATCCTCTCTCACTAAAGACACTGGTGACAGAGTGGAGAAGCCGTGTTCAGTGTGGGTGTGGCCTGGGTTCCCTCCCTCCTGGCTGTGTTTGAGAGAGACATAATTTGGTCACCCTTGGGCATCTTACACTTAGGTGGAAGCAGGTGTACCTTGTGCTGAACAGAGAGATGTTGTGTCAACAGCCAGGGCTAAATCCTGGGGCCTGTGCATTCCCTCATAAGATATGCATACCTGAGCCCCAACTCCTCATGCACCAACAATACCACAGCAGGAAGAACAAGCATAACCCTTGCCCCTGCAGCAGGAGCTAGTTTTATGGTCACTTAACACTTGCATTGACAGGTGGGATGGATCACTCTGAAGAAATCATTGGATGATGCTCTCAGTAGAAGACGTGGACTTATGCCAGGGAAAAGCATCAGAGTTTGAGGGTCATGCAAGTCCAATCCAATTTCTACATAACAAAATGTTTTTTCTATTGTGTTTCTTTGAAGTAGAAGTTTTCTATTTATTTTTATTTCTTTTTATTCACCATTTTCTACATCTTGAAAATTGATTGATTCTTCATTGTTCTATGTGTTTTTTGAATTCCTCATTTTGTTCCTATGTTATTATTGATATTGTTGAGTGTTCCTCTGTGTACTTTTCTAGGTTGAACAACATGCATACCCAACCTCAGGACACCAGAATATATAAGCAAATGTTGACAGCTCTGAAGGGATAAACAGCAATGGAACAAACAGAATGTATTACTACTCCACTTTCAAGAGTGGTAGATTTGAGCAATATTATAAATCAACTTTTCCTAACAGTTATACAGAGAGCATTCTACCTGACAGCAGCAGAACATGTGTTCTTCTCAACAGCTGTCAACAATTCTCCAGGTGGGATCATCTGTTATTTCAGAAAATATGTGTCAACAATTTTTAGAAAATTGGAGTCATATCATTGCTTTCATAACTCCAATGGAATTAAAATAGAAATCAATTCCAGAAAAATGGGAAAAGTCACACGTATGTGGATGTCAATCCACACTGTGTCAAACAGCCATTGGCTTGAAGAGGAAATCAGAAAATATTTCAGTGGGTACTGTCGCTCCCCGTCTTCGTGGAGGAACGACACAGGACCCTGCGCTGTTCTTTTGTCTGCTCGGCCCTCCCCAAGTTTGCTGCTGGTTCTTCCCAGGTTGGCTGCTGGTCCTTCCCGGGTTGACTGCTGGTCCTTCCCAGGTTGGCTACCGTCCCTTCCACCTCCGTGGAAGGGCGGTTCCCCCTGCCACATTCCCCACTTCCGCAGGGGAGCAGCACACCGCCGGCCGGCTCTCTCGGGGGCTGCACAGGTGCTCCCCTTAGATGTTCCTGGTGCATGCCGTCTCTCTCCTCCTTTATAGTCCTCCTCCGCCAATCCTAACTCGGCTGCCCACACGCCGAGTACGCTGCTCTCCTCCAATCAGGAGCAGGTCCTGCAGCTTGTCAAGTTGGTGAGAGGCAGCTGGGTAGAAGCTGTTGCCTCCTCTCCCAGCGCCATATTGTGGGAGAGCAGATGCATAGAATAAGTCTTAATTCCAGTAACTCAGTCCAGTCCGGGTTGCTCCCCACAGGTACATTTTGAGTTTTGAGCTGGGATCCATAGCCACAATCACAATCCTCAAGTCCAGGCTTGGTACAAAGAGAAACCAGGTGGACATGGAAGGTCACCAGCAGAAAAGCTCTCTGAACACTGAGAACCATGGGGATCTTTAAACAGAGCAGACAGAAGTCTTCTTACTGCCCACAACAATTAAGGAAACAAGGATACTGATGCTTATGACCAAGTTCAAAGGCAGACTGCAAATTCTACATTTATATACAATATAAACATTTCATAGTCAGCTGAGCTTTATTTTATAAATGGACTGATTGAACATAAGCTCCTTCATTAACATTTAGTAAATAGTTCAGTTTGTTCATTCAACAAATGATCTTCACGTGTCAGGCACTAGACACTATTCTAAGTATTTGGGATGGAGAAGCAAAAGACATACAATCAGGAAGGTTGCTTTGTAATAGGTCACACACTACATATGAGAAAATGAATGAAAACTCACACTGATGCTGTCATAAGTGCTATAAAAATGTAAGTGTGGACAGAGAAAGAACTGAGATATAAAGAAGCTGCTTTGAGTACTCTGAACAAATCAATCCATTTCCTCCTAAAGTGCAGTATCCCCCAGATGCTTGATCCTGAAGGGAGATTTTTTAGAGATTTATTTATTTTGCTGAAAGGCAGAGTGAGAGGGAAGGAGATACACACACATAGGGGAGGAATAAAGAGAGAGAGATTTCCATTCACTGGTTCCCTCCCCTAAATGGCTGCAACAGTTGGGCCTGAGCCAGACTGAAGCCAGGAGTCAGGAACCTCATCTGAGTATTTCATGTGGGTGGCAAGGGGTCAAGTAATCAGGCCATTATCTGCTAATTCCTAGGCACAGTTAGGAGATTGGATCAGAAAGAACACAGCTAGGATTCAAGTTGGCACTCTGATAGGAGATACAGGCATCATAAGTGATAGTTTAATGTGCTGTACCACAATGCCAGTCCCAGCAAGTGAGTTTTATGTTCATGTTCTTGATGATTATTTCCTATTCCATATTTGCACTGGAACCTGTGAACTAAACTGCAGTAGAAGGTGAAGCAAAGTCTATTTTCCTGAGAACAAATGTAGGTTTCATTCAGATTTGTTCCTGGAGGATATTTAACACGTATCAGGTTGTTTCTTTGCTCTGGAACCTGTGAACTAAACTGCAGTGGAAGGTGAAGAGAAGTTGGAGAGGTCCCCTGCTCAGAGGCCTGGTCTGCCTCTGTGGTCTGCTCTGGCAGTAGGCTGATATGGACGCCAGGCAAGGTGATGAGGCGGCATCTTGGCTGGAGCATCTCGTAGTCTCCTTGTGTCACTTAGCAAGGGGGCTAGGGAGCTGGCACTTCAGCTCCACATGCGAGGAGATCCAGAGGTTTGTATGCACTGGGCCCATGCACACACACACACACTCACACAGACAGTGGGGTTACAGCTCAGGGACAGCTCTGAAGGTTGGCTTGTGCCACTACCTGCTCCATGCAGAGTAGCGGGCTGCCTCTTCAGCTCCGGATGTGAGGAGATCCAGAGGTTCACACACACCAATTTGGAAGAGTATTCATTTGGTGAAATATGAGTGGTTCAATTTAATTTCCATCCAAAAGCACCTTGAGTTGCATTGTGGCTGATTGAGCAGCTTATAGTTACACTCCTATTACTAAGAAAGTGGTGTTCTATTGTAATACTGCATGTCCTGTATGTGTGTTAAATTTAAGAGAAGTTGGCTGTTAAGTGGATTTTTTAAAATGTTTATTTTATTTGAAAGGCAGAGTTACAGAGAAGCAGAGGCAGAGAGAGAGAGAGAGAGAGAGAGAGAGAGAGAGGTCTTCCATCCACTGGTTCACTTCCCAGGTAGCTGCAATGGCAAGAGCTGGGCTGATCTGAATCTAGGAATCAGGAGATTCCTCCCAGACTCCCTCCACCCTGGATGCAGCCCCAAGCACCTGAGCCATCCTCCACTCTTCTCCCAGGCCACAGCAGAGAGCTGGATCACAACTGAAGCAGCAGGGGGTGGCCCTAACTGGCACCCAAATGTGATGCTGGCACTGCAGGTGGCTGCTTTACCCAATATGCCACAGCATCAGCCCCTGTTAAGTGGATTTCCTATAGTAGAGATTTTGTGAGAGATCTGGTAAATGCGATGGAGTAATCATTTAAATCCCTTAAACCATCCAGCAACTGTGTCTGTGGCTGTTGATGCCCAAGGAGACAGTGAGGAGCCCTTGTCAATTTAGAAAATGCAGGAGCTTTAGGGATATTTGTCCCATTCTTGGCTCTTTCTTTTCCTCCCCTCCCCTCCCCTCCCCTCCCCTCCCCTCTCCTCTCCTCTCCTCTCCTTTCCTCTCCTCTCCTTTCCTTTTATAAAGCATTTACTTAATGAATACAAATTTCATGGATACAGTTTTAGGAATACAGCAGTTCTTCCTCCCATACCCACCCTCCCACCCCCACTTCTCCCTGTCCCACCTTCTACTCCCTCTCCTATCCCATTCTTCATAAAGATTCATTTTTAATTATCTTTATATACCAAAGACCAACTCTACACTAAGTAAAGATTTCAACAGTTTGCTCGTACACAGACACACAATGTATAAAGTACTTTTGAAGATGACAAGTTTTACCATTAATTCTCATAGTACAATTCATTAAGGACAGAGGTCCTACATGGTAAGCAAGTGTACAGTGTCTCCTGTTGTTGATTTAACAATTGACACTCTTAATTATGAAGTCAGTGATCACCTGAGGCTCTTCTCATGTGCTGCCAAGGCTGTGGAAGCTTTTTGAGTCCACAAACTCTGTCGGTATTCAGACAGGGCCATAAGCAAAGTGGAAGTTCTCTTCTCCCTTCAGAGAAAGGTACCTCCTTTGATGGCCCCTTCTTTCCACTGAGGTCTAACTCACAGAGATTCTTCATGTAGTGTTTTTTTTTTTTTTTTTCCACAGTGTCTTAGCTTTTCGTGACTGAAATGATGTCATGGGCTTTTCAGCTAGATCCAAAGGTCTTACGGGGTGATTCCTATATCAATATGCTGTTTAGGTCATTTGTCATCAGCTCCCCATCAAATTTCTGTCAGCTGCGGCCCAGACAAGCTATGTAGGGTGGGTATGGATCACGGATGGGTGAGGGTGTATAGTGCAGGAAGATGAATAGGGTTAGGACTCATGGGAAGCCAGCCTTTATCATGTTGCTGTTTTTCCTTTTAATAAATTTTGGGGAATTATTAAAATCCCTTAAATGTCTCACCACCCTGGTAGGTAGATTTGCAACCTCTACAGACTGCCACTATTTCTAAGGTATGCTAACTAAATACAATGTTTGGAGTTCTCTCATCTTATACTCTCACATTATGCTAGAATCTATATACAGCACCCATACTGGGGTTTTCAGATCTGAGATAGGTTTTGGAATTCTTGGTAATCAAGAAGCAAGAACTAGGACTCAGAATACTGACTCAAATTTAAAAATTTAAATATTTAAAAATCTGGACATTGCTAGCCAAGACTGCTTAATGCATGTAAGAATAACAGCCACTGATGATGTACTATGGAGAGGCAGAGCAGTTCACTCTTAGACAGCCCATCTCACTATTGCAACCTCATAAACAACAGGGAGGTTCCCAGCTCACAGTCACATGACCTGCTCATTAATCTAAAAATGATGAGTGTCAGCCACCTTTCTTCTAAAGCCTTCCGAGGGACATGTGCATGGATGCTTGGAACACTATAGTCCAGCAAGCCTGTATGTGATTGACATCCCCTTCAGAAATTTGGATCTGGAATTCATTTTTTTTTAAAGATTGATTTTCTTTATTTAAACAGCAGGGTTATATAGAGAGAAAGTGGTAGGAACTATGCTTTTTCTTATTATGCAGGTGCCTATTGGATGGTGAAGGAGAGATAACTGAGCTTAAATTTCCCTACTGAGGAAGGCAATCCCCCAAAGCCAAATGGCTTGAAACACCCTCATGGCCATCCAAAGAAGAAATTTGTGCCCCCATCAAAACAAGATATTGTGTATAAAATCCCAATAGCTCTGGGATCATTTTCCTAGCTAACATGCCCATCCAGTTTAATACTATGTCTGACCTACAAACTGAGCCCTAGTCAATGGCTTTACTTACTTGAGGTTAAAAATTCTTAGTGAAAGCTGCCAACAGTTTTATGATTTGCTGTTTAGGTAGAGTAATGTTAATATGTTGTTGCTTTTATTATTACTGTGAAATGATAAGGCACCTGCAAGGTAAAACATGTGGAAACTACCTGTGTGGCTCCCCTTTCCCAAGGAGGTAGAGACTGGCTTTCAAATTCATTTCCTGGATACCATCTGGAACCAGGTCTATTTTAGGAGGAATTTTAAATGAGGACTAACATTCTAATAATGTTATTGGGAATTTACTTAGGGTTTAAAGTCACTATGTTACAGAAACTTTACAAATGAATGTATGAGCCAGAAGCTAAACAAATGTTCTTGCCTTTATCTCTCTTCAAAGGGAGAAAGCAAGGGTCAAAACAATGTCAATTTTCCATTCCAAAAATTCCCCTACATTACTTTCATTCAGCAGAAAGTAGCCAGAGTGGAGTCAATTCCCCTATTCCATACATATGGATCAGAAAACTTGACAGTGAGGAATTATTAGCCATAATAAAGGCACCTTCCCTTCCCACATTTTACCTTCATGAAGGCATCTACTCTAACCCTAGTCTTGTGAATATTGTTTTCATAAGAATTTTAGGAGTCCACTGAAAGGGGATGATTTGGAATGGCAGACTTTTGACCCAGCTACAGAAAGTCTCCTCCCAACTGATGTTGAGCTCTCCCAACTGATGTTGAGCTCCGTATCAAGAACTGCCAGCTGAGGGATCCATGCTACACTCCTCTGCCAAGGTAGGACCCTCATCAGAACAAAGCATGAAAATCTGCATAATTGTTAATCAAATAGACTCATTGTTCTATTTCCAACCTCACTCTGCAACTGTCCTGTTGGCTTGTTGGGAAAGAGCTCACTTTGGATTGGGGGATCTCTTTCCCCCAAGAGTACTGGATTTTTTAAATTAACCCTTTCCTTTTACCAACACTCTGATGAATTGACCATCTGAGCAGCAAGCAGCAAGGGCCTGATTATTTGGTAACTATCATTGAGATTTGATAGACTTCTGTGTCCTCATTTGCAAAGGATTAACTGCTCTGTTTTATTCTCTCCAAAACCATGTCCTCATTATTTTAATTGGCACCTGCTGTGGGGAGATGGGCCTTGCTCCCCACAGGGCCCTGCTCCCCACAGCTCCCCCTTCTTTTTATTCTTTGTGGTGTTCATACACGCCTGTCTTCGGTGCCCCGCGGCACATACTCTGCTCTGCTAGAGTTGCCCACAGGTGCTTATCACCCTAGGCAGTCTGAATCCAAGCCCTCTCATCGCCATGTTGTGGGGAGACTTTCTTATTTTTTTTTTTCTATTTCCCAGCTCTCTTATCCCCCCCGCAGCTTTTTTCCCCTCAGCTTTCTTTCTCTCCCTGCGGTTTTCTTCCTGCGGCTTTTTCTTATTTTCCTTTCTCCAGCTTTCTTATTTCTCTCTATTTTTCGCCCGTGGCTTTTTGTCTCTCGCTCCCCATGGCTTTTTCCCCCCATCTGTATCTGAGTCACGGAACCACTTGTCGCTCCCCAGCGGGCTCACGGGGGGGGGGGGGGGGGGGGAGCTACACCAGACTGGACACTGTTGTTTAAGCGAATGACTGCGTTGTGTGCTCAAGTTTGCTCCTGTGCTAACTGCATTCTAACCGCATTCCACTTGGTGTGTGTCCGCATTCTTGTTATTCTTTCAGTGCATTTTGTGAGATGTCTGTGGCGCATAAGCGAATCCCTCCATGCCACTTCAATCTTGCCTTTATAGTCCTCTTCCACCAATCCGTGCTCTGCTGCCCACGCTAGGGGCATGCTGTTCTCCTCCAATCAGAGGTTGGATCAGGAATCAGCTAATTGATGAAGCAGCTGTGTAAGATTTGTTTACTTCCTCAGAGCGCCATATGGTGGGAGATCAGGCGCATAGAGTTAGTCTCAATAGTCTCAGTAGTCTAGTCTAGTCTTGGTAGTCTCAGTACTTATTTCACCATGTTGCAGGAGATGGGCCCTGCTCCCCACAGGGACCCGCTCCCCACACTTGGGACAGAGTCCAAGCCTTTGGAAACAACATTATTCTAATTTCTAATTAAATTTTAGTACTTTATCATCAGGTTTGATTTCCAAGTTATCTGGTTGAGCAGCTTGTTAAAATAAACAGACTACAAGAGAATATTTTACATTTCTGATTATTAAATGAGGAAAAGACATTTTATGTTTTGTCAAAATCTCATTCTCTACTTTTTTTGCTTTTGAACATTTATTTATTTATTTATTTGAAAGTCAGAGTTACACAGAGAGAGAAGGAGAGGCAGAGAGAGAGAGATCTTCCATCCACTGGTTCCCTCGCCAATTGGCTGCAATGGCCGGAGCTGTGCCAATCCAAAACCAGGAGCCAAGAGCTTCTTCCAGGTCTCCCATGTGGGGGCAGGGGCCCAAGGACTTGGGTCATTTTCTACTGATTTCCCAGGCCACAGCAGAGAGCTGGATCAAAAGTGGAGCAGCTGGCACTCAAAGTGGTGTTCATAAGGGATACTGGCACTGCAGGTGGAAGCCCTACCTGCTACACCACAGTGCTGGCCCCCAATATGTATTGTTTTTATAAGCAGATCACACAGGGGCCAGTGCTGTGGCACAGAAGTTTAATCTCCACCTGTGGCACCGGCATCCCATATGGGCACCAGTTCTAGTCCTGGCTGCTCCTCTTCCAATCCAGCTCTCTGCTGATGGCCTGGGAAACAGTAGAAGATGGCCCAAGCCCTTGGGCCCCTGCACCCATGTGGGAGACTTGGAGGAAGCTCCTGACTCATGGCTTTGGATCAGCCCAGCTCCAGCTGTTGCCAACATTTGGGGAGTCAACCAGCAGATGGAAGATCTTTCTCTCTGTCTCTGCTTCTCACTGTCTGTAACTCTACCTGTCAAAAAAATAAAATATTAAAAAAAGAAAGCCATATAAAGACACACAGAAAGGAGATGTCATGACAACAGGGGCAGAAATTAGAGAGATACAGCTTCCAGCCACTGAATGTCAATGATTGCAGGCAATCATCAAAAGCTAGGTAAAGGCAAGGAGGCATTCTTCTCTAGAGCCATTAGAAGGAACATGGCCCTGCCGACACCCTGATATCAGATTTCCGGCCTCAAGAACAGAAAAAGAATATATATTTATTCCACATTTTTATATGCCTATCCCATTTTAGTTGTTTTAAGTCACCTATTTTGTCATGATTTTATGGCAGCCTAGGAAACAATACACGTTCACAATGCTTACATCTTTTACTCTGTGACATCAGATTCCACATTTATTCACTAGCAAGGCATTAATTTTTTTATAGGCAAAGTGGACAGTGAGAGAGAGAGACAGAGAGAAAGGTCTTCCTTTTACCATTGGTTCACCCTCCAATGGCCGCTGCAGCTGGTGCACTGTGGCCGGTGCACCGCGCTGATCCAATGGCAGGAGCCAGGTGCTTCTCCTGGTCTCCCATGGGGTACAGGGCCCAAGCACTTGGGCCATCCTCCACTGCACTCCCAGGCCACAGCAGAGAGCTGACCTGGAAGAGGGGCAACTGGGACAGAATCCGGTACCCTGACCAGGACTAGAACCTGGTGTACCGGTGCCGCAGGTGGAGGATTAGCCTATTGAGCTGCGGCGCCGGTTGGTATTAATCTTTCAGTCTGTCCTTCTCCAAGATAAATCTACATTGCTTCAAACATTTTGATGTAGCACAATTACTACAACCTGGTTGATTCTGTATCCTGCAACTTTATGGAATGCATTTTGGATTTAATAGTTTTTAAATTTTCCTTTTTAAAGATCTATCTATTTTAGTCCAGCAACCACATGCCATTCCGCTATACCACGTGTGCACTGATTAGAGTCCTGGCTCTTCTACTTCCTATCCAGCTTCTTGCTAATGCACTGGAAAATCAGGGAAAGATGGTTCAGGTGCTTGGGCCTCTGCAACCTATGTTTCTGGCTCCCCAGCCATGCCACTGTAGACATGTGGGCAGTGAACCAAGATCAAAGATCTCTCTATCTCCCTGTAACTCTGCCTTTCAAATAAATGAAAGAAATTTTGAAAAATATTTATTTGCTATGTTTGCTTGCTATAATATTTATTTACTTGAAAGGCAGTTACAGAGAAAGAGAGAGAGAGAGAGAAAGAGAGAGAGAATCAGTTTTTCCATCTGCTGGTTCACTTCTGCAATAACCAGGGCTGGGACAGGCCAAAGTCAGGAGCCAGGAGCTTCTTTCCAGGTCTCCCATGTGGTTGCAGGGGCCCAGGCACTTGAACCTTGGACCCAGGTGTATTACCTGAGAACTGGAATGGAAGTTGAGCAGATGGAACCCACACTGGTATCCCTATGAGATGCTGTTATTACAGGAGGCCACTTAACCTCCTCTGCCACAGTGCTGGTCCCTATTTGTCTTAAAAGCAGGAGACTCTGAGATAGGCAGAGACAGATGGGGAGAGAGAGTAAGAATGACAGTTTATTTCTTGAATGGCTACAACAGGCAGATCTTTGGCAGGCTGAAGCCAGCAGCCATCATTGTCTCTTACATTGGGTAACAGGCACATAAGGCTTGGACCATCCTCTGCTGCTTTCCCAGGCATATTAGCAAGAAACTGGATCAGAAGCAAAGTAGCTGGGATTAGAGCTGGGGCTCTGTTAGGGAATGCTGGCAGCACAAACAATGGCTTGACATGCTGCACAATTCAGGACAATGAATAGCCTCTCATGGAATCATTAGGGTTTTCTAAATAGCTAAGGTCCAGTTTTATTTCTTTTTCTCACTAATTGCTCCCACTAGATGTTTCAGTCCTATACACAATTGAGGTGATGAGAGTAGACATCCTTGTATTTTTTGTTGTTATAGGAAATGTTTTTCTTTCTTTTTTTAAGATTTATTTATTTATTTCAAAGTTAGAGTTACACAGAAAGAGGAAAGCAAGAGAGATAGAGGGGTCTTCCATCTGCTGGTTCACTCCCCAGATGGCTGCAACAGCTAGAGCTATGCCATCAGAGGCCAGGAGCCAGGAGCTTCCTCCAGGTCTCCCACATGGGTGCAGGGGCCCAAAGATTTGGGCCATCTTCTGCTGCTTTCTCAGGCCACAGCAGAGAGTTGGATCAGAAGAGAAACAGCTGGACTAGAACCAGTACCCATATGGGATGCCGACACTTCAGGCCAGGGCTTAATCCACTGCACCAAGCGCTGGCCCTGGAAATGTTTATATTTTCAAGGAGTCAGGAGAGACAGAGAGAAATCTTCCATGCTCTGGTTCATTCCTGATGGCTGCAATGGCCAGCCTTGGGCCAGCCGAAAGACAGGAGCTTCTTTTGGGGCTCACATGCGTTACAAGGGCCCAAGCATTTGGAGAATCTTCTTTTGACATTTCCTGGTCATTAAAAGGGAGTTTCATCAGAAGTGGAGCATCTGGGACACAAACAATGCCATATGAGAGGTTGGCATTAGATGGTGACTTTACCCAGTATTCCACGATGTCTGCCTAAGAGGAAAAGTTTTCAAATTTTCACTGTTGACTGTAGTGTTAGCTGTGAGCTTGTCATTTATGGCCTTTATTTTATTGAGATACATTTTTTTAAAGATTTATTTAGTCTTTGAAAGTCAGAGTTACAAAGAGAGAGGAGAGGCAGAGATCTTCCATTCACTGGTTCAACTCCCCAAATGAATGCCCAACTGATGGCAGGGCTGGGCCAGGTCAAAGCCAGGAGCCAGGAGCTTCATCCAAGTCTCCAACATAGGTGCAAGCAGTTGGGCCATCCATTGCTGCTTTCCCTGGCACAGTAGCAGAGACCTGGATCAGAAGTGGAGCAGCTGGGTCTTGAATCAGTGACCATGTGGGATGCTGATGCTGCAGACAGTGGCCTAACCATCTGTACTGCAACACTGGCCCTGTCTCTCTCTCTCTCTCTCT